CAACAAAGAGAGAGAGAGCGACTCTGGCGTTGCCTTAATAAGCGGCCCTGCAACACACTATTGCAGGACATTGGATAACACAAAATATTTGTGAGCTGCTACAAGCCAGTGGCGAGTCGCCTTTCAATAAATACAGCAACAGAGCTTCCATGGACACTGTCTTGAAACACTACAAGGAGTAGAGGAAGGAGCTCAAACGCAGGGATTTTCGTACGAAGGCACAAGGAATGTGCGTGCAATACATGACCATGGTACTGCAAGAATATATACATATGTTCCTTACATATGAAGTAAAAAGAAAATAAGTTTCAAAATAGCTTTTTTTTTCACCAAAAATTGTTTACTTGCCGGCTTATCGAAAAGTTATTATCTTATAATTTGGGAGCAAGATACTTAATTGGAATATCAAAGTGAAAGAGGGCAGAACGTCCTTATACGACGCCCGCGTAAGATGGTTTACAGGGTTAGGGAGACGGTGTAGAAGAGGTTTGTTTCAAGCAGTGAGCGCAAGTAGTTCAATGTAAATAGCCAGTTTGACTCGATATTCGTTTTTTGTAGTAATTACATGGAAGTATCTGATTATTGTAGTTATTTGTTTTTATGATTACTTTATCTGATCCCCGGATTATGTAACGTAGTGCAGAATCTTACTTCCTGCAAATGTCTGATTGCAGTCATTTGCTCTGAGCCTAGAATAGGCTTGCACCGAAAACGCCTGGAGATAATAAGTTTCAAGAAATCCTATGCTTTTTCTTAGCGAGTAATCATTTTGAGATGTTTCTTGAGCGTGTAGAAAAGCGAATGGAAAGCGTGATGGAGTCTAAACATGTCAATTCGAATAACACAGCTTTCAACGGGCGTGGTGACAACATGTACTCCGGTCGCAAGCATATATGCTTGCTAGCCAGTTCTGCTTTTACTTAACTTAAAATAAGTTTAACTTAAAAAGTAAGAAGAGCTAGTAATAGCAATGAGTTCTTGACGCAGATCCTGTTGAGAGTACCTGTTTGTTCTATATTTGTCGCGTAAATCATAAGCTCTGCTAATAGGATAGAGCGAGTTGCTACAATCGCCTACTAGAAAATCTTTACAGGTGCCTTTGAAGGCCTGGAGTAAGGCTTAGAATGTCGTAAAGCCACTTAGAGCAGGATACGTTCTAAAAAGGCCGGATTTTCTATCAAATCTACTATCATGATAAAGGACGCTATCAATCAATTTGGCGATTCAGGTGACACTTTAAGTTGATGAAAAACTTAATCATGAAGTTTTTGTCATGATCTAACTTTCGTTCGACGTCAGCACTTTTTTTTGAGGATGTCTAAGTATTTCTTTTCATGTTCTATATCGATAACAAGCGAAGCACGCAGATTAGTCTTTGTCACAGAGAAGAATCGGCAAATTCCACATTGTAGGAAGGGGACAATACTTGGGAGTCTTTATTTATTTATTGATTTTTTTTCACAACAAACAGTATACTAAAGTGAATAAAAAAATCCCTTACTCAAACAATGGCGGTCAATTATCATAATTAACAATTTCGATTCAAATTAATAGACTGTGCAACAGAGGAAACCTTTTGACCGACTGAGTAGATACTGAACTTTATTACGATCCATTAGTTGCGGTCAGCTCAAATGAAAGTAATGCCATCAAGCAGCTCATTCGTAACAAAGCAATGAAATAACGACGCTTTCAGCTGAATGACCAAAATTTTATCTAGCCCAATTGTTTGCCCAAGTGCCAGTGGGCAAAACGTTTCTATGTACCGTGTTATTTTTATTTTAGAATGTAGAATTAACATTGCCATATTAAAACTAGCTTTTAAATCAAGAAAAAATGCAAGTTATTTTTAGAGTCGTTTTAAGTAACATGAAGCATTACAGAGGCTATGCTTTTATATTATAATCTTAGTGTATTTGCTTCTGTTATGGAGCTGGCCCATAAAACGATCTCCTCTTTGTAGAGTATTGTAGACAAACAAAAATTAGAGGCTTGGCGCGCATAAGATGATTCTCGAACTATAAGACATCGCAGCTGAACGAAACAGAAAATAGTGACACATGGGGGCCCGAATTAAGTCAAGGGCTTCGTTCGTCCCGATAGCGTGCACTAAAGACAAAAACAAGGAAATAGGAATAGTTTTCTCTGTCCTGAAGGGCTTACTCCACAATGGGGCATGGCCGTTTTGACTGCTCTAACAAAAGTGCACAGTCTTCACTTCCTGTAATACTATTCAGCTCATATCTTTTGAAGCTTGCATTGTTTAAAACAGTCGTATTTCGCTTTCTGTTTGTCGTTAGGTCACCTGTTCCATATAACTATGTGTTTCCAGACGGCCTGCTGTGGAGGAACTTCATAATTGAAAATGCCACGTGTACAACACTAAACAAATATGTAAAGCTGTCCTAAAACAAGCTGTAAGTCGAACAGTTGGGTTGAATTCTCGGAGTAGTTCAAAGAGGGAAAAAAGCCGCCGTACGTCGACAAGAAACTGGAGTGCAACAAAGGGACAACGCAAAACATTCAGTGAACTCGGGCGGACTTCTATACGACAGACGGGAGCACTGAGAACTTCCTTCGCCTCGTTATATACGTGCGGGTCGGCTGACTCGGCAGGTCTGAGTCACGCCTTATAATTACGGCTCGCTAACTTTATGGACATGTCAAAGTATAAAGTACTGTGAACACTTGGGAAAAAGGGGCTGAGCAATGGCCGCGTGTCCTTTCGAGAGCTGAACGGGACCTCACTGATCGCTGGAGGATCTTCTCCCGGAGTGATGAAATTTGGAATGTACTGCGCACTGCAGTCTGCCCGCAAAGTTGTCCATTACTTTACGTATATATGTATATAAAAAGAGAGAGAAAGAGAGAGAAGAGGTAGCAGTGCGGAAAGGAGCTAGGTTAAAGGATGTCAATCTGCACAGATTTTTTTTGCCGAGCGTGTATTTTTAAAGGGTTGGCTATATCGGGGTTCCATCGGACACAGGGAGTGAATCAAGCGAACGCGGCGCGCACGGGTGCAAAGTCTATTATGTTAAAGATTGAAGGATGTGCACATGACAGCATGTGTCATGTAGCCTGAGAGCGAGAACTTGGACGAGGCAAAAGAAAGTACTAGAGTATCGAAGAAATACCATTTATGAGCTCCGGTACTTATCATATCCAAAACACTGACAAAGTATACAGCAGTTTCCTCAAGAAATCTGTGTCTTCATGCATCTAATTAGGTAACGAAAACGCATACAAGAATCTGAATTAAAGGCTTGAGTTTTACGTAAGCTATGCTTGGGAAGAGTTACCGTTTTGTTACTCGATAAGATTATCCGTAAGTTCTATTTTCAGCTGGAATTGGAAGTTTTCCCTTTTCAAGATACAAATAGAGTTTACTTGATACGACGACGAAGTCTCTATACATTGGTTTATTAAACTCTTTTTACGTGACTTAAATATTATGAATGCGTAAGGCAGATTCTGATATTTGGTTACGCATTAATCAACGTCAACAAGCGCCTTATGATCTTTAGACCTCCAGAACCATTTTCTTTCCCTTTACGTTAACGACAGAGTAATGGGGGCTCACGTATGCTAGCAGAATGACGTGGGCATAATAGCAGCGCGATCTTAAAATCCCCAAATGGACGCAATAGGGGGTGGCTGACCCCGAGCGACCAGAAAACGTTGCCCTGCTCAACGCAATGCCCAACAAGGTCTAGTTAATTTTTGTGATTGAGTATGATACTCTTCAGCATAGGTTTTAAATGGGCGCACGCGCTTATCAATTTTATGATTGATGCCGGTAAGGAACAGAAGCATTCCAGAGTTAATGCGTGAAGTGTGCCTATGTACCCTATCATATCTATTTCTCAATTCTTTCTGCCCGCCAGTTTATGAGCAAAACACATAAGTAAATTATTGCAAACTATAGTTTACACATTTACCATATAAATTGGGCAAGAAAGCCCATCGTATATATAGGCAAATGCCAATTGCTGCAAACTGGCGACATACAATCGGTTTACTATTGGCTTTCATCTCTTTGCCAGGGTAGTTTTCGATAAATATATAGCTGAGTACACGCCATCCTTCGTCAGTTTCATCACCTGCACCTCCGGCAGGACAACGCGAATTCCTTTTTTATGAATGACCTATGGAACCTCACCATCGCTGCCTTACTTCTCTTCCCGTTCCTTAAAGATTACCGTGAGGTATATCAGAGGATAAAAAGATAATTAGATTCAAAACAACTTTTTCAGTGCCGATAGAAGTAACAGGTATAGACTTTTCATGACGGAGCACAAACCAATGATGACGTGTTGCGCGATGCTTGGCAGCGTCAAATCTAGATGAAAAAACTGGATCAGAAATTCGTTCCGGCATTAAGTCTTGCTCCTATGATAGAAAATAGATCGAGAGCTTTATAACGAAATACAAAATCATCGAACGCAAACATCGTTCAGCAAATTAAGTCCTGCTTTTTCATCTCTCTCTCTGCTCAGGTGTGATCTCGGCAGCAATCAGAACGTATCTAAACGGACTTTTTTTTAGGCCGGACTACAGAACTGAAAGTTGTTCTAAAATAGAACTGATATAATTGTGCCACATCTGTTGTGCCTGGATTGTGTAGACGTCTGATAACTACAGAACCGAGCGCGAGCAGCTCTTGGCTTTTATGTTAGGGGCCATGGAAACTCTACAGCCGGAAGATGCGCTCGCTGAGGCTGAGGATCGGCCAAAGTCTGAAAGACTTTTGATTTAACTCTTGTAAAAGAGGGGAAGTTCTTCGACTACATAAATAAATACATACGACTAATTGACTACATAAAAAAATATGCAAGGTGTAATGGCATTAAAATCAGCGAGTTTATTTCATTAACAAAATAAAGGCTGGCAAAGTACACCATGCTTGTGAAACAAAGGCCGTCAATGAGATCCAGGAAACTAAAGCTGCTAATCTCTATTGAATTATAGAAAAGAGAACAGTTTACTTTAAATAACGAAATTCTTATTAAAAGCTTTGCTACCTAAAAGTGATTGATTGAGTGATTGATGTAGTTTAATGATGGCACCAAGTAACCCGCGAGAAACGACTACCGTTTAGTTTACGACTAGCGGAGATGCTGCTACACGCCATTGAAAAAGCTAAGGACCATAAGTTTGTCGAAGGTAACTTAGATATTTTTGTTAGGAACTAAAAACTGATCAATTATATAGATGCAAATACAAAAGGAAGACCATGATGAGGCGAAGGTATTGGCTACAAAAGGGTACATTGGACCTAGAAGGGCAACAAATGCTTTGTTAGTGAAGCTTGTATGGGTTACTGCATTTGCATCATGTCATTTTCAACAATGTGCAAACCATTTGACTAGAGAAGGAAATAATGGCTAGAATAGTCTGCATGCAACCGTCGCGGTACTACTTAGCCGTCTCCTAACCGTAAGGCTAACATAAACCTGAATGAATTTAGCCTGCGCGGCATGGCATAGGAAAACTCCGCATTTTTTTATGAATTTTTAAAATGTATAAATGTTCTTCAAGGTAGTAGATTAGCTGTAGATCCTGATACGTTTATGCCTTGCTTTATTTCCATTTATTTCTATTACATATATACTTGTAGTGAATCTTGGCAGAATATATAGCAAATAGAAATTCAATATAGTAAATATTCTTTTGTTTTTTAAGAGTAAGTAGTTAAATACGCATTGTAGTTTAGCAAGTAGAGTAAGTAGCACATCTTTAGGGTCTGGTAAATTACTAGACCCACTGGTTTTCTTAAACACATTTGCCTCTATGAAGTTAGTAGTAACTTATGGCAGTGTCTTAGCTAAACAATGAAAACAAAAACAACCAATTACTCGAAGAAGCTATTGGCATACTTAATAACAGTCAGACTAATTCAAATCTGTTATAACTGTTCTATTCTAGTCTCATCCTTCGCCAATCGATAACCATAGGAAGATACTGTTTCCTAGATTTCGCTTGGTTGGGTACGTCTGTTGACCCTATACCAATCTCGCACTCACGCTTTTCTTATTTACACAGAGAGCTGTACTTGTGTAAGGTGTTTGATTTTATACAAAGACCCCCCACAAAGGTTGCGTGTCGTATTTGAAGGTCAGCTTGGAAGCTCCGGACCTTGCGAACACTGGCAGCTACGGTCGAGCAGGCTCTGTACTACTCCATTAAAAGTTCCTCCATATAGAAAGACCAGGCGGTGAAAGGGCCCGCTACCAGCTATGTATCTTTGCATTGGTTAGAGTTCGACATGGTACCGTGCACCAGATCTGGGTGAGGGCCCATCACAGAGTACAGGGTCGGCAGCGTCTCGATCTCGGAAATTCTTTGCGCAATTGGAAAAGCGAGACGCGAGATGCGGTTATTTCGGTTCGGTTTTCGAAAGTTGATAGTGTCCGCTGCCAATAAATTCCTAGCAAGTTGCGTTTTACGTCCAATGTTAGCCGTCTATCGTCTCCGCCTTTGAGCAGTGTGGACTAATATTTTATGATTCATGACTCCCGCTCGAATATATGTATACGTCGGAATAGCACAAAACTTCCGTGTTCATACTAGCCTAAGAGAAAGGGCGAACATTTCTAGCAGAAAATTCCTGTTATCTTTACTAGAGTACCTTAACCGAAACGAATTTTATACGCGTACTTATATATATATATATATATGCATTTTGACTCTTTTATTATTATTTTATTTATTATTTTTTATTATTTTGACTGTTTTATTATACAGTGCAGAAAATACGTGAGCTTATTTAAGCTCATAATTGATTCCATAGATAAAAGTCATATTATGATTTGTGTTATGAAACCGTCAGACTTTAAATAAGCTTGTATGGGCGATGTTTTGTTGTAGTATGTAACGACGAACTTCTCGAAATAACACTGTGACCTATCCCTTTCGGAAAGAATAATTAAAAAACGAAACAAAAACTAAAATCTGAATAATAACGCATAGTTTCGCGTTTCTTTTAACTCAACGCACTATTTATTGGTATGGTTTTGTCTTCAAGATGTTAAAATCGAATTAACAATTTTTTACTGTGACCCTTAAAGTCTATCTCATATCCGTACTAAGTAGCAGACCCTTTCCTGGCCTCAATGAGATGAAGGTCTTTATATTATAAAGTTACCCCGTTACTTCTGTATGCAAATTTTGCGCAGTCGCAGTGCTTAATATAGCGCAAAGCAGCTTCTATAAGAGCGGTTTATCACACAAGCTCGTAGCACTCAGGGTTCTTTCCTCGATACAGGATGATTAAGGCCAGCTAGGTAATCAAAAGTTACATTTATAAACGGTGCAACACATTTCCATTGTGAAAGAGTTATTGCTATTAAGCTGGATCCTTTAGTACCAAGTGTACATTTGGAGCCAATCTGTGTCTAATGAATAAAGTTACGAACCAAATCACTGATTTAACTTGAAAATAGAAACTAAAGATAAAAAGTAAGGTGTTGTCTTCAAAATTTTGCTTCGAAGAAGGTCTTTTTAGTTCGAACTTAGCTAATGCATGCTGAAGTACGAATTCGATGACAAAGTCATTTCTTGCATGAAGCTCGATTGGCCCCCTTCCGTCATGTTTGAATGACACGCCGCAAAGCTGTTGATCCTCTGAATCTCAGTCCCGTTTTTGCTGCATAAAGGACCGTCTCTACGGGCCACTCTTGGGGATCTCGCAGGCACTATTGCAATGTATGCGCCTGAGAAGAGGGACTCATTCACACCGTTTCCGCTGGAGAAGCTTACGGTTGTTTGTTTACAGCTTTTATTTCGCAACTCCTGGTACACTTTGCGATAGAACGCGCATCTGTACCCTATTCTCGTTACGTGTGGCATGCACGACTCCAATCATGTAAAATTCTTTACATTATGCAGTCGGTCGACGATAGCGAACCCTCAATCGAACGAATTGCCATTAGTCGTGTTCTGATCCAACGAGTAGTATTTGTAAAGTACATCTTGTTTTAGCAGTCGCTCACAAAAGTACGTCTACGCTTGCCTGTCGGATCCACGTGTCGACGGATCCGACATCCAACAGCTCCAATATCGACACCTTTTTTTCAATAGGTATGTAGAAAAAGACCGTATCAATGTGTATTCCCACTGCCGATATACGATTATAAACTAGTCGCGTTAGCTTCTGTCATATGCGCGATTGGCACCTATTGGACAACTGTTTGTGTGTATTCCCAAGAACCTATCAAATATAGACAAGTATAATCAACAAGCTATCAAAATCTACAGACCTTCAATATTTATTGCAGTTTCTACGCTTCTGCTACTATATATAGTGAATACTACTATATATGAATATAGCTATTCATTTTTCAATGCGCTTTAGGTCGAATATCTTTTATTCGTCCACGATTTAACATAATCGATGATGCCTCGAGTGAAGCAACGACAATTATATTACAAGTATAATGTTTTTATTTTTCTATGCTTCTGTCACTACTGTTGTTGTTACTTCCAAACGATCCATAACGAGACGGAAGGACAAGAGACAATATGTTGGTCCATGTTAGTCCAGCTACATGAAGCCTACCCTCGTTCGTTCCCGGGTTCGTGCATGAAAAGCACAGGAACGGGTACACACAAATATCGTCCAAGGAAGAGAGAGCTGGGTGGCAAATGAGGCGTTCCCGGTCCTCCTGCAGGCTATCCATATGATCTGTCCGGGGGATCGTTTTATGGCAGTCCTCCAGATCGTATACCATAGCAAGGGCTGCCGCTGCCGCTAAGGCCTGTATGAATACGGCAAACTGGGACACGAAACGGTCTCAAGACACAGACTCGCTATCAGGGCCAAGTTGAATGCAGGTAGCGTTCGAACGCCGAGATGTGATACATTGAATGGGAATGTGCACATGGGGAGTTGGGGTAGCTTTCGCGGAACGTCCAGCCGACCGGGCAGGCAAACGAGTACTTGGCAATACAAAATAAAAAGTAAGCAGAAGCCCTTAACGTAGTTACACACAGCAGCACACTTTGGCCGTAGTGAAGGTGGTGGACAATGTGATCGGGGCAATAAAGTCCCCGGCTGCTTGTCGGCCTCCGCCGCCGTCATCGCCAAAGAAAGAGCCACCGCTCTCACAGGTTGTCAGCTTTGTCCTGCGTTGCCTCCTGATCTATTTGATGCATCCCAATGCAATGCTGATAATGTGCGGCGCCGTCATCTAGCTTTGCGCCTTACTTTGGCACCGCACAATTTATAATACGCACCTGTCCTCATATGACCATTGCCACCCTTTCTACTTCGAGGATAAACAACCACGTCATGCTCTTGTATATCAGCTGCTTAACTGAATGCAATATATACAATGTATTATTAAGCGGAAGCCTATGAAGATAACTAAATAGTATTTGTCTCCAATAGTTGGTTGTTAAACGCGATACCTATTACTTCAGGCCTGGCTATGGAATATGATGAACACGTGTAGATTGGATTTCTTATCAGTTTGTATCGTCTTACAGACAGAAGCTCAAAATTCAAGCAATATCCTCTTTTGGGAAATAGTTTAAGAAATTAGATAGTAGATTCCTTCTTCAGGACAAGATTGGACCTGTTTAGCCTGTTTACGAAAGATAACCTTGGATTAACTTTCTCAGAGGTAGAGACTACAAGGTCTATTATTGGGTAGACTCGACCAACGTCCAGCCTGCCCTGGACTCGTCAAGTAAGTTGTTAATCCAGATATGGTTCTATAAGAAAATTAATGCACTGCATTTGACGGTCATTTATTGTTCCTCATGCGTATGGGCCTCGATTCCTGATTTAGGAAACCCCGTTGGACTTTCGACGTCGCCGCTACCAAGCCTAGCAATACGAAGCGGAGCTATAGTAGCTGGGTTTCCTTTTTTCCAATAACCAAAACTTATTGACCTTGTAGTATCGCCCGAATTTGAGAAAGCCCTTATTTTCACGAAGTCATATGATAATGAATCGTGCAGCTTTTCGCAATGAACCAATGCACTGAACGTACTGTGTAGCTGTGGCATGTACAGGTAAACTTCGACTTTTTCAGTGGGTTCGATCCATTCCGTGGGAGCGAGAACGCAAGCGTGAATGAGGTGGGCATCGCGCTTTCTCCGTATGCGTAACCATAACTTTTATTCGAGCGGACGTTCCTCACTTTGGTTGATGGCTCCGC